AGGAAGGCAGGCAGGCAGGCGAGGGGGGCGGGGGAAGAGCAGGCTCCGGCCCTGGCTGTGACGGCGCCTCGATGCGGGGCTAGGAGTGCAGCCGCCCCTCGGCCTGCCCTGCCCGGGCGCGGAGCCGCGCTTTCTTCTCAGCCCGGAGCCGTCGGCCTCAGCGTCTGCGATGAACCCGGTGAATGCCACTGCCTTGTACATCTCCGCCAGTCGCCTGGTGCTCAGCTACGGCCCCGGGGAGGATCCGCAGTGTCTGGCCGAGATCGGCAAGCTGCTGCCCTACTTCCGGCAGTCGCTCTCCTGCTGTGTGTGCGGTGAGTGAGGCGCTTTCTATTGTTCTGGGCCGCGGGCGAGCTGGCACCCTCCTTTTCCCTCCCTCCCTCCCTCCTTCCTCTCCGTCAGTCCGTCCGTCCGCCCGCCCGCCTTGGTCTCGCCTCACTCGTTACACCCCTTTGGAAATGGGCAGGGAGCAGAGCCGCCTTCCTCTGGGGTAGACTTCGCCAGCCGAGAGACGCATGCCCTGCAGGGCTCATTCTTTCCTCAAGGGAGTGCTTTCTGAAACTTTTCCTCCTCGTTTGGCTGGCTTTTGAGACTGCTCGGGAGGTGGGCGCTTGTGCGGTGCGAGTAAATGCTGTAAAGGCCGGACGGTAAACGAAGACGGGAAATTGAAGCGGTAGTAAGAGTCCTGCTCAAACTCGCCTTGACCGCCGTGTAAGCGTTTCAGACAAAACTGAAAGTTCCCACAAGCTGCTTTTCCCCCAAATGGGTTGTACTTTTGGCTAATAATCATGCTGTCTCAAGGAATCACCCATGTTGGCCTGTTAACAATAAACTTCCACAAAAAGGTGACATTATCAAGTCTTAACAGAGTAATCCTAAGCACGTTTATTTAGAAGTAGGTTCTATGCCTGTTAGCAGTCATAGAAGTGCTGCCAAATGCTGTTATTATGGAACAAGGTTTGTAGTTGGGTATACAGTAGTGAGTTTTTACATGGGGGAGTACAGGTAGGCAAATATCTGCAGAGGAATGGATGGACTTGCATCTGACATCAGGAAAAATGACATTTCAGAGAACAGAGGAGGAAGATTTCAACTTCACAGGATGCTATGCTTTAAGGTGGCTGTTTTCAAACAGAACTTCAGGAGATGATAAGTATTAAACACTGTAACAGTTAAGTTACGGTTTTTCAATAGGTTCAGTTATACTTTGAATCAGGATAATTTAGTTTTTATAGGATATGTGTTTATTGCCCAATGCCAGAATTTTTTACAGAAATATCAACACTGTTCTGTGAATGAGTAGTGTTAATAGCATAAATGTCATCACACTCTCAACTTTTTGCATTTAATTTTGCTCTGACTTCACTGTTTACCCACCACTGCCACCATCACCACCACATGTATGGAGTTTAGAAGAAACTTTACATCTTTTGTAGACTAGAACCTGCTTCCTAAAGTTTATGCCATAATATATTTCTCAAGATATATTAAGACTTTTCTTTTTGCTTTTAGTAGATTTGTTACCATGAATGTTTAAGACTTTTTGGCAATAATTCAGATAGGAAGCAAAATACTAAATGTGTTTGTTTTGCATAACAATACAGTGGACCCTCGACTTACAGACGGCTCGACTTACAGACTTTTCGAGTTACAGACTTCTCTGGCTGCAAAATTTAGAGTTGACTTGCAGGCGGAGAATCGACTTACAGACCAGAAAAAAACCAAAATGCAACAAAAATAGAATAAAAACTGCCAGTTATGGGATTAATCAGTTTTCAATGCATTGTAGGTCAATGGAGATTCGACCTACAGACTTTTCGACTTGCAGCCACCGTTCCAGTACAGATTAATTCTGTAAGTAGAGGGTCCACTGTACCTTTTAGTTGTTCCCTTTTAAGGAAAGTTTGCTTACCGATGCAAATAGACTAACACTGTGGGAGGAAGTGTTTTGTAATTGAAAGGAGAAGTAAAGTCATTCCCATACTGAGGCCTCAGTTTGTTTTGGTAGTCATATAACAGAGTTACACAGACGCTACTCAGAGTATTGAGTGACTGGCATGCACTCCTGTGTTGCAGATTGTAAACAGAGTCAAACTGCATTGGAAAGAGTTATACAACATTCTGTATTCACTCATGTTCCTTTCTCTTGTCATTGCATTTTAAAGTTAGCAAAGCTGAAGCTAGCAGTTAGAGAAAATTATGTGAAAGATTGAGATTCATAAAAGGAAGAAAATGATATGATTAAGATTGCTGTTGTCAGGCCTTCTACTTTTCACTCCCATATCCTTGTTTCTGTAGGGGGGAATTATGGGTCATACTGAGGAATCAATTTAATTTTTTAAAAAACTTATAAAGCTCATGGCCAGTGAATACATTCTTAGAGTTAAAGATACTTTGATATCTCAAGCAAAGTATCTAGATATTGTCCCTTTCCTTGCAAGTGCACAGCTGTCCTTTCTAGAAATGACTGTATAAATGCCCATTATTGAAGTAATTTGTGTTGTGTCCTGGTCTTACATTATGTTTTGCAAAATATAGTGCACATAAGATCTCTGTTTAAACTTAACTACAAAAGGGGGAACATACATAGAAGATAGATAACCTGCTGGTAGTCTGTTTCTTAATGCTCACAGATGTGAAATAACTACTTAATTCTGCTTTCTGGTATGATTGGCCTTGAAAATTTAACAGATGTGCTAATTTCCGATGGAATTAATATGTAGGATAAGAAATTAACATCAGTTTTTATATTCATAGTTTGTATAGATGCACTGAGGTTTTGTTCATATTTTTCCTGTAAACTTTATGGTAAAATAACTGACTTGAGGCAGATTTTACAGTTTTTTTCACTGTAAACCAATGTCACAGTAGACTTTTTCTAGAGCAAGTTTTATTCTGTAAGAACTGCATTACTGCTTGGCAGTGAAAGACTGGAGGGTCTGGCGTGCTCTGGTCCATGGGGTCACGAAGAGTCAGACACAACTTAATGACTAAACAACAAAAAAAGTCTCAAAATATTTAAATTTGTCAGTCAGTATGTGTGTTTTAATGCAGGGGTCCCCAACCTTGAGCTCCCATCGCTTGTCCCAGCTCCTGCCAACCTAGCGGTTCGAAAGCATGCAATGTGAGAATATAAATAGGTACCACCTCGGTGGGAAGGTAACAGCGTTCCGTGTCTAGTCGTGCTGGCCATGTGAGCACGGAAGATTGTCTTTGGACAAACGCTAGCTCTGTGTGTTGGAAGCGGAGATGAGCACCACCCCCTAGAGTCGGACATGACTGGACAAATTGTCAAGGGGAACCTTTTCCTTTACCTAGTGTGTTTTGGTTAATATTCCTGATGTTATTCCTAGTAACTCCTGTTGCTGCCTTTTTTTCCCCTTTCATTTTTTCTTTTTACTCCAATTCCCAGGTTTCTCCAAAAATTCTCCGGGCAGAATACTGGGAATTTCTGCCCACAAACACACATCTACATTTCAGTCACCTGGAGCAGGTCCTGGACTTCCTTTCTAAAGAAAGGAAGCTGCCCCAGTGTTTCTTGTAAGGTCCAAGTCTTTATGGAAGGTGAACTCTTGTTGCTCATTAGACTCTGTATAGGGCACCCTCAAAGAATTACATCTTCCACAAAAACCTGGACCTCCCAGAAAGCACTGGAATGGTTTCTTTTTATGTGCAGCAAGTTAGCCTGAGACAGCTGGGAAGATAGGCCTGTTCCAGGTGAGTGAAATGTAGGTGTGTGTCTGTGGACAGGAACTCCTAGAATTCTCTCTTGGAGTTCTTGAAGAATTCTGGAAATTGGTGTAAAGGAAGAAAACAGAATGGTGTATTCTCAGTTATTATTTGAGCTGCACCCCACAAGACTGAGCAGATTTCAGTGCTTTGATTTAAATAGATCATTGTGTGAACTGGGCTGTAATTTCAACCGTAGGTTTGATTCTCAAGTTGTATTGTTCTGGTAATTATGCAGTGGGTGGGCAAAATGCAGCTTATGGGCTGAGTGTGGCCAGAATGCGTCTTCTGTTGCTCACACATGTCACATATAAAAAAAATTTTAAATGGTGAGGGTTCAGAAAATTCCCTTATGCCTTACATGCCCAAGAGGGATAGGACATTTTTATTTTAGGACTTCCACTCCCATAAGTTGGCGAGGCAAAATTATGGGAGCGAAAGCACTCAAATTAGCAATAAGTAGAAAGCCCACTTACTGCCATTCCCATCGTGCTTCTCTGTTAATTGGGAAGGAAAGAGCCACATTTTAATATGGGAATTGCAAGGATTTCCTATGACTCAGAAGGGTTAATGGGAGTGCTTCTTCTGAAGGAGGCTGTCTCTTGTCAGAATTGTTCTCCCATGAAACTTTGTGCAGGAACAGCAAAGAGGTGAGAGGGCTGCATTATTTATAGGAGTCCTTAAAATACAAAAATCCTGTCCTGTGCTCCCACAGTCTATTTTTAATCAAAAAAAGTTCGGGGCCACTAAAAGATTTCAGTGAGTTTTACCAATCAAAATATGCCTTTAATTGTAAGGAAACATTTTGGGAGGTAGGGGTCATGGGAGCAGGTTAGCCTTCTAAGATCTTGAGTTGAGTTGTGCCCCAGGACCTACTTGAAAAGTTCTGTTGGTTGTGTCATTTGCTGTATAATTCCACAATATGCAGTATGTTCAAATTATAATTTCCTTATGCATGCTCACTTAAGCTTACTATTATGTAATTATAGCATGTTTCAATTACTGTATTGTCATGGACAGCTTGGTTCTTGCTTTCTTAGCATGTAATCCTAAACATGTTTCCTGAGAAGTAAGCCATCATATTGAGTACAGTGGTGCCCCGCAAGACAATGTTAACTTGTGCAGCGAAAATCGCTGGCTTGTGAAAACATTGGCTTGTGAAATGCGGTTCCCCATTGGAATGCATTGAAATCCGTTTAATGCGTTCCAATGGGGACAAATAGTTGTTTTGCGAAAATCGCCCATAGAGAAACCGTTTTGTGAAGCACCGATCAGCTGTCAAAATTGCTGTCTTGCAAAAGTCGGTCGCGAAAACACCCGTTTTGCGAGTTGCAGACCTAGCTGTCAAAATCGTTGTCTTGCGAAAATCTGTCCCCCAAAAAAGTCTTGTAAAGCACATACCGAAACATCGTATAACAAAAATTGCCCATAGGAAACACTATTTGGCGAAGCACTATAGCGATTGCAAAAACTTATAATGCAGATTCATCGTTTTGCAAGGCAATCCTCTAGTGGGGCACCACTGTACAGGAACTGACTTCCTTTCAAGTACGGGATTGCAGTTAGTGCCATTGTAGAACTATTTGTAGCTCTTCTGACCAAACTGATGCTGACATTTCAGATTGGGGTCTTCAGATGTAATAGTAAATCAAAGTTCTTTGAACTCTTGTGTACTTGGGATGAGTAAGCATGCTAGTACATGCTTCTTGATCACCTAAATATGGTTTCTTATGCCAGTGCAGGTGGCTAAAGAAACCACACAATGTATAAGATGACTGGGCGTATAAGACGACCCCAACATTTTCACTCAAAATATAGCATTCGTTATATACTCGCCGTATAAGACTACCCCTCCCTTTGCCTTTTACACCGCCAGAGGGGCAGAGAGGGAGGAGAAGGAAAGCAAGTTTCTGGGGCGGGCTACCAGCTGGCCCAAGGCAGAGGCCAGCGCCTGCTCGCTCGCCCAGCCTCTGGAAGTTTTC